CACACACACACACACACACACACACACACACACACACACACACGCACACACACATTAAAGTGCCTGTGACATGCAGATGCTTCAATTACAAAAAAAAAAAAAATCAAAGAAAACTTCAACATATGTAAGAAACTTGGCATAATCCACACAATTTTATCCATTTTATCACAAAACTGGCATATTTCCTTTTGATTTTGCCTCAGCCAAAATGAAACAGGAAGTGACATCACAGGGGAACACTTTAAGAAAAAAAAACTTCCTCGTCTTTGTTTTTTGGGACAATATTATTTTCACTTTGACTCTTCTTCATCTCTGATAAAAACTCCAAATCTAAATCTAAAAACACATCAGATTATTCTCCACAGTCTGTGTTATTACCTGTTGTAGCGATGCTCTGTTCACATGCAGACATTCCCCTTTGACATCACTTCCTGTTTCTTCACATACAAATATCTCGAGAACCGTTAGTCTCAGCAGCGTGCTTTTTTTAGCATTATGTTATCAGTGTTCACTTTTAAAAAAATGCATTCATATTTATTACAAAAATTTGATGTCACAGGCACTTTAACCTTCCTAGTGCGTCTGTATCAGCTGTTTGTGTTTGTGTAGTTTCCTGCAGGAGTGCGTTTCCACCACRCAGAGGTTAAAGCAGTACATGGAGGAGCTGAACGGCGTGTTGATCACGGTACAACAAGGGAACGTTTTTATTGATTTTGTTTTGCCAGGAAAATACGCTGATGACAGTCTTTTTTTCCAACTATTAGTGTTGATACAGTGAAGTCATAATAGTGCAGTATACTGAAAATTGTAATGCAAGGGAAGGTAAACTCCCTACTTGTAAAATAACCCATTTTTTTGCTTTATCTAATAGTAAGTGAGTTACTTTATGCAAATTTGCCATTAAAATGTTTATTTTTTATTTCATGCAAATTTAATGAAGATGTTAGTGTTAAAATGATTGCAAAGTGTAATAAGAAACCTATTTAGCTTGTTAGCACAACATAAATATCCACTGTTATGCTGATGACATTGATATTTGTACGTGAAGTCATCAGAAAAAAAAATAGCTGCAATAAACGCCAAAATCCAAAGCAGTGTTTCCCAGATTTGTCCACCCCTGACCCACAAACTAACAGTTGCAGAATCTGTGTGAAGGGTTTTATTTATGGAAGCATATTATTCAGAGGCTGACAGGTGAGTTGCTGTGTGCAGGTRAAGCAGCGTCAGGAGGAGGAGAAGCGACAGCTGTGTTCCCTCAGAGATCAGCTGAGGCCGGTCGTCCACACAGAGCAGGTCGGAGACACGAACGCTGAGGCCGATTAGCTTTTTGTGTCTCGGTTCAGCAGGTAAATAATGTGTTTGTGTTTGTGCAGGACTCCTTACCGAAGCAGGTGTACAGTATGCATCAGCTGCTGGGGGATAAACAGTATGGAACAGAGAGAGCAGGGTTCCTCTACAAGAAGAGCGATGGGTAAATGCAGACACGAACTCACAAAATTAGGAAMTAATTTGCAATTTATATACTTTTGTTAATTTTTCCAATATATGCTGACAAAAAACTGCAGCTCTCTGAATTATTTTACCAATAAAAGTACAAAAAATGCAAAGAGCTTGAGCTCTGATAATTTTGACGTGTGAGGTACTTCATGGCAGCAGAGCAGTCAGTGTCTTACCTGCAGCAGAGAGCAGTCAGGGTGCTTATATGCTTTGTATATACTGTGTATATA